TAAATAACAACCTAATAATAAATTCAGTTTTATGTATCTGGGTTAAACTTGTAATTGCATCCCTGCTGCAGAGACAGAGGAGGGAAAGAGTAAATGAAAGACTGACAAAGAAGGAATCAGAGGTTAAAAATCAAGATATATATATTTTTTTATGTTTATCACTTTTATCCTTGTTTATGTTCTCCAAGCTCCCTCGCTGCAGTAGTTATTTCTGTTCATATATTTGCCACTCCCTCCAGTTTTCCTGTCTCTTTCCTTTTATCCTTCTTTCTGTTCCCTTTTCTCACCATGTGCATTCTGCGTCACACCAACATCCCCCACTCTCCCTCTCCCTTAACACACAATCTTCTCCCTGCTCAAAAAAACAAATCATTGCTGGCAACAAAGCCGATGGATCAAGTGACAGCCTCTTAGTCTGCAGACCTATAGTTCGCTCCTATAAGTCCTCCAAGGCAATGTGAAAATCTATGCTGTTGCGTTGCAGTCCATCCACAGCTCTGAATATGGAACAGCTTCCCTGTGTCTGCTTACCAAGCACATTAAAGATGCTTCCAAGAACATAAACATAAATACAAGTACACCTTGCACTATCATTCTTAAGCAACCCTCTATATAGAGCTGATGATCAAAGATGTGAGGAATTCCTAATGTAGGTCATTGCTGAGCTAAAGTGCTCAGGCTCCCAACCACTAAAACAAATGCATATTTCATTTATAAGGAAACTCAGAACAGTATTTTGTGTTTCAGAAAATGATTTCAATCTTTACAATTTTAATTGCAGCAAACATTCATGTTTTATGGGATGTGTGTGAATAACTAAATTCTGACTGGACGGAAGAAATAGGTCTTGCTAGGATTTAATTAAGAAAATGCATGTAAGCATCCATCAATTAATTTGTTTCTAGACAACTTTATTGGCTTATTATCAGGATGTCCCTCAATCTCATTAGCTGTTTCATCTCTTCTATCCTGACAATGTTTTCATATATTTCCAATAAAAATGCTTTGCTCTCAGACTACCGTGTCCTTCCTAGAGTTGTTTAAAAGCACCTATTTGAGGTAGATTTCCTCAAAACCAGCTCTGAGCCGGCAATGGCTCTATCTGTTCTCTTTTGATGCACTAATGAATCTGTATTTTCACTGGTTTTGTTTTTATATCTGTTTCGTCTAACTTAAGTTCTACTCCTGATTAACAGGACCTCTCCTCTTCATCATCTAGCTTTCCTCCAAAGGTCAATGTGTTTCCCAACCGCCCCAACAAAAAAATAATACAACGCTATATTAAACTTTGCTATAATTGAATGCAATTTCCATCAGATTTCCATCAAACGGAGCACCTGTCCGAGCGATGAAAGATGGCATTTATTGTAGATACTTTCACTTCAATATGAACCAAATTCTTGAAAGAATTAGGCTATTATTCCTAGGCTATTATGATAAGGAATTAATAAGGATAATCTTTGGTGAAATTATAGTAAATTGTGTATTCTATGTGCTTTTTATGACATAACTATTGCAATTCTTAAGTCAGATACATTCCCCAAATGACATATTCCGGTTCTATTCCTGTGAGAGAATAAACAAACACACAGCATAGCTCTTAACAAAGTACATTGTATGTACTGAGGTTGTAAGGAAACACAGAGCAACCATTCATCTCTGACACATTTAACACATCCAATAGTTGAGCAGACCAAGACCGGCTTGAACCCTTCTCCCTCCTGAATCTTAAAAATCCTGCTAAAGGATACAAGGTAGCTGTGAATCTCTAGAGATTCTCTTAGGGACAGAAAGAAAAAAGAGAAAGAGCAAATTCTAAAAATGGTTTGAAGACGCGCTATAATATATAGAAGGACACCTTGACACTTGATAAAAAACCTCATGGATGGTGTACATATATAGTTCAGTGCAGTTGGTAATTACTAAAACTGTTTAAACGGAAAGGAAATAGAAGAAAACGTAGAAAGAGAGGGAAGAAAGTTAAAAATTGGGAAATAATTAAAAAGGATGAAAAGATGGGTAGACTCAAAGGCAAACAAAACTAGGGCACAGGCAGGAAGAAACAGAACCCTGGTGTTTTTTAAAGTTGAGCCATCATAGCCACTAAGTCCCTTTGCTGCTGCCAGGACTCATCCTGCCCGTCCTGCTTCATCCTCTGGGGTAAAGGTACCTTTCAGCCCTTCCCACCTTTACAGAATTACGTCTCTTCCTCTACCTTCTCCTACCTTTTCATTCACTCTGTTCTTCACATGAGCACTATTTCCTCAACTCTACACAGTGTGGCAACAGAACAAGAAAGGATGGCATTAATATTTTAATTTACTCACTCAGTACCCTGTCTCGTCCTTTTAGATCTACAGTTGTGACAAGTTGAGAAGGACATATCTACGCCTCCATTGATGCTGACGTTTTCCTGTCTGCTTCGTTTTCATGTCCTTGTGAGGTTGTTCTTTCTGCATTTGTGTTATTGGCAAATGTTCTCTTTGGTGGTATGGTCATGTTGTCCCCTCACCATTTCATTGTTGATTTATCCCACAATCATGCATCAACCTTGTTAACATTTCTACTTCATTTTAACAACTGATGACTTAAATGATTTGTCTATTTCCTGCTCATGGTCTAGAGTAAAAAAAAAAGTGATTAAGACGCTGTGTGACTCTGAGATATAACAGCAGGAGGTCATCTTGTTTTCTTTCAGAATCATCAGAACAAGATCTCACTGGATGAGCCGTATTTTCTTAATGGTCTGGTTATACCCGAAGATCTAACAGAATAATCTGCAGTGGCGCTCTAGAGGATGGATTTCAGGGTTTTATCATTAAGTGGTTACCCACACTCGGATAATGAGAACAGTATGGATTGTATTGAGGAAAACAATGCTGTTCTAATATTGTTTTCATAAAAACTTTAGTAATAAAAGTGTAAAATTTAAATGCTCCTGCAAAACGACAAATGTGACCAGAAACAACCTCGTATAACAGCTCCTTAACAAACCGGTTGTTTTTAAACTTGAAATATTTGTATTTGAGGATACGATTTTTCAATTAAGATGAAAAGAAAATAACTTATTTTGTGTGTCTGAAAATACCGGTTATAGAATACTGTTGATTCCTGAAAAAACATTTCAAGAAAATGTATTTAATTTTTAGAGAGGATGAATTATCCTGCAGTATCTTATATATCCACACACACACACACACACACACACACACATATATATATATATATATATATATATATATATATATATATATATATATATATATATATATATATATATATATATATATATATATTATTTCTAATAATGCATTTTCTTATTTTCTTTTTGAGAGAACCTCATATTTTTGGTATAATATATGATTTTCTAATAGGTTTTTCTCCTTGTTTGTTTTAAAGTCTGTATACCTACATTAAAGGTCTTTTGCACACAAGACATTCTGCAAATCAGAATCAAAGGCAACTGAATGTGTGTGGAAACTGCAGCTGCATCCGGTCAGTGGATCCTAGTGATAACTCGAGTTACAACATATGCAGAGGATAAAAAAGGGGGGGAAAACTCTTTAAGCAGAACACAATAATATAAAGTTAGATTAGAGTTAAACCATACTTACTTTAGATGAAAGGTTGGCTAGATACTTTTCAGGTTCGTTATATATTTTTGTCTAATTGGACCAAATATATAATAATCAAAGAACATTATCATATTTTTCAATAGAAGAGAGGGATAAATTAATGACTTCTTCTTTTTAGATCTGTAGATTTAAATTTTCTTCAGCTTAACTGTCTAATAATGAGTGCTGGCTATATAGTTTTACAACAAGTATATAAAATTTTAGCTCATGTTGTCTCCCCCAGCTAAAAGCATGGATGTGACTCAATAATTTGGCATTTTGTCACCAGCTCACAATCATTGCATCAATGTGAGGAAAACCTTGTTCTCTTTTCTCATACATTTAGAACACATACACCATGTAACATTAGCATTTTAGTCTAGACCGACCAACCAGAGAACTAAGTAAAAATATATCTGGCATTACTAAAAAAAAAATAGAACGGCAACACCAAGACCACAGCAAAAATAGGACCAGTGAGAGGCCATTTTTGAAACAATCAATTAGCCATGTACAAAGCTGATTAGTGAGATAACCTATAAAAGGGCTTCAGACATAAAGGTGCATTGGTATAATGTTTAACATTTACATTTATGTGATTAGCTAAAATCTCTAGTGGAACCCCAACTAATATATGTAGACCATGAACTTGATGCCATCAGTTTAATGAATCTCATAATAACATAATTTGAAAAGAAAAAAAAAAAACAGGTAACTTTAAACTCCAACTAAACATTTACTGAATGCTTCCAAGTAAAGGATGTCACCCACTTTTTTCTTTCTATGTGGTTTACAGATAATCATCCTTTTTATTTTTCCCTCCTCTCATCATTGAATTGTAGGTATACAGGGGACAGCATTGAAACTGTAAATAATTATATGGGTTCTATTAGAATTTCTGCAGGAATTTCATACAAAGCTGCAGTCAGCATATAAAATGCATCAGTTTTAGTCTCAACATGTATTAATGAAAACATCCAGTAGTGAGAGACAAGAAGATGCAGTAGATATTTGAAGATACAGTCTTAACACCAATCTTGAGACTAATGTTTAGACAAGTCTTACGGATAAAAACCTTACAACACACAATACCAATCAAAGTTCAAAAATACACTTAATTACGATGTTTGAAATCTCTCCCAAGAAAAAACAAATGATGGTAATTAATTCCATGCTGTCTGATACATGGTAGCTGACAGATGCATTATTTTAAAATCAATAATTAACACAGTTGAAACCAACTGCTAATTAACACCAACTCTTTGAAATAAGAAACCCTCTGCTACGTACAACCAATTACTGCTAAACAGAAATATCCAATAGAATTGCTCTTTATGTGTTCCTGTTAGAGGTTTGAAATGCTTTAAATGTGTTTTAAATGCTTACTGAAAGCTGCCACAGCCAGGATAAGTGTGACCACAATGGAGATCCAGGAGACCCAAAGAGCTTTCTTCCTGTAGTTCTGTGCCTCATGGGGTTTCAGCCGCATGCTGCTCTCAAGAAGACCTGCACAGAGACATTTTTGTGAAAATCAATATGATCTTCTTTCATCTTGTGATCATGTCATACCTACAGAAACTAAGGTCCATTCATCCATTTTACATCATGCTTTATCCCAGCTGGGGTCATGAGTGGTGCTGGTGCTTATCTCCAGCTGTCTACAAGCGAGAGGTGGACAGGTCGCCAGTCCAACGCAGGGTGGAAATTAAGGTCAGCCAAATTAAGAATATTAATGATTGACTCACAATAGATGTTTGTTATTGTTTTTCTTTACTGTAGATCAAGCGAGTTTCACATAAGATACTGTTGGGGCTTCTGAAAATATACAGATAAATGTTACACTTGTGATCATGAATTAATACCTTTGAACTTCCATTTGTTCATTTAAAACAGGGGTGGGCAACTCCAGTCCTTGAGGGCCGGTTTTCCTGCAACATTTAGATTCATCCTTGGTCCAACACACCTGAAGCAATTGGTCGAATTACCTCCCCAATATGCAACCAATTTCTCCAGAGACCTTTTAATTATCTATTTATTTGATTCAGGTGTGTTAAGTCAAGGGCATATCTAAAAGTTCCAGAATACAGGCCCTCTTGGACTGGAGTTGCCCACCCCTGATTTAAAAGGATTGTAAACAGCTTCCTGGATTCAAAAACGTATCATTTCTATACAATACTATTGTGTCATGCCATAACATTCTAGATCTTATGACCTGTGGAAGAAAGATTTGTTTGAGTTTTTTTTAGTTTTGCTTTCTTATCAACCTTTGTAAACCTCAGACCTAAGAATTAGAAGTGATACCAGAATATAAACCTGGCCAGTAAGACTGAATTAAGTCAGCCTGTTAAGGCTCAGACTCTAAAGTCTAGAACAGAACAGACGCGGAAACGGCCCCAAATTGCAACAACAACTCTATTCTGTCACAATAACAGCCAAGAAGGCAGCTTCAAAGGCACAATGCTTTAATAATGGCCTTTATCACACCCCGAATGAGCTGGATAATTCTTTAAAATATAAAAAACTTGCTGCTGTATGACCTTTTCTTTAATCTTGTAACTGATTGGTTCTAACTTGTTTCTGCTGACTCTATATGGTGTAAGTCATTCTGACTAACCTGGTTAACTAGAGCACACCTCTATGAATACATCACAGCTTTTTTTATTTAACCATCCAGTCAATATGTACAAATAGTTTGGTGCAAATATCAGTATGAAACAGATTGGCTTTAATTTTAACTATCCATTAATTACACAATAGCCTCAGCTTAATTACTTGTAAATAGGGTTGTCAAAAGTATTGATACTGAAATGTTGTATCCGGATACAATACTCATTTTCAAAAGTATCGATACAGTGCTACCACCAGTGGCACCTAAACAGTCATTCATCTAAAGTATAATAGAGGAAAATGCACTTTCTGAACACTGTGATTGAATAATTCTGTGCACTTTTCAGTTTCACACTTTTTTTGTAACAGGTGCAGCTGTTGAGAATTATTTTTGTTTCTTAACCGGTTTGGCTAGTGTCATTATGTGTGCAAAGCATAGCCAAGGAAGGAAAACCTAATTTTAAGTTTTTTATCAAGCTTGCTTAATGTTGTGCACAGCATACAACCTCAAAATATTGCTCTTTTTGTTTATTGTATTTATTTATTTATTTATTTATTTATTGTATTTTATTTTTAATGAAAATATTTCTGTTGAATTTTGGAGTCTTTGTTTTTATCCTTGTGGTATCGAAAATGATATCGAGTATCGAATATTTTCCTTAGTATCGGTATCGAGTTGAAAAGTTTAGTATCGTGACAACCCTGTAAATATTTAATGCAAGAAACTCTAGGTGGAATTTGAAATGCTTGTAATATCAATCTGAGTTTAGCTGAAAATTCTGTCCTCTGAAAAACATTAAATTACTTGGTGTTAAAAACATATATAGACATACAGTCTGATGAAAATAAGTATAATTTTTAATAATGGAGAGAATATAAATAAAGAAATAAAATCGTATATATTTACCTATAATGTAAAACATTACCTATATAGATGTTACATATTGTGAGCATAATTTTAAAATTGCAATAGCATTCAAAATATGTTTGCCCTTGTTTAGAACCGATTGAGTAGTGGTATAAATAGTTGTATTTGAAAAGTGGAGCTGAAAATTGAATTATTTGAAACAAGAACAGAGGACATGTTTGAATTACTGACTTCAAATAATTGTTCCTTGGAAAAGATGATCACCCTTTACACTATTTTTTGATCAACTGATTAATTTTTGAATAGCAAATGAGCTTCAATCTATAGTGTGTAATTAATAAATAAATCTAATGGTCATTACTGAAGTGATATGAAGCCGGTGCTTATCCCCCTCCAACCATACGGAGGCCGTCACGGTACAAAATGGCTTTCGCAATGTCAGCATCACCCATCTTGTAAACAAACGTTTGTTTACGGAGCTAATTTTATAAACAGTATTCTACAAGTCTGTGTAGGATATAGATTTTGCGAATATAACCATTATTTGTTCCACATCATCATCATATTTTAGTGAGCTGCTTAGCAGAGTCATATAAACAGACTAAGTAATTGAAGTCATTTAGTTTGATAGAGAGATTGTGTTGGTTGGAAGCATATATATTCCCCATTTACAGAGGCCAAGTCTTAACTGTGGCATATGGGTTATTAGACGAGTTAGAGGGATCAATCTACCATGAATTCTATTGTGAATCAGAGATGGTTTAATAAAAATATATGACCATCTCTACAAAAAAAAAAAGAAAACAAGAAAAGTGTTTTAACCAAAGACTGACTGGAATTTAGGGAATATAGGATCTGTCTCCAGGTAAACTTTTCATTATAATAGAGATCCAGAATGTTTATTCTAGATGTGGAGAACATAATTTTGTTTGAAATGGTAATTTAGACTAAAAAATGTATTAGTCAGATGTCCGGAATACATTTTCAGTAAAACTAGAACATATCAAAACAGCCTGCCATAGCAGTTGTTACCGTGAAAATATTACAGGATTATTTCTTGAATGGTAGCATCAATGTATCTATTTAGGTGAAATCTTATGGCAGCAGGTGAGGATGAAGAATTAAAACTCTGTTCTAATATATAGAACCTGTGCATCATCATAGATCCCTCCTCATGTTGATTCAGTCTTCTTTTACACAGTAAAGTGGCTGCTGCAGCTGCGCTTCGGATTTTATCATCCCAATAAGCAGCTATCAGTCCTATAGAATGGCTTCAGATTGTGCCAATAAACTCCTTAGGTTGTTATCATCGTATGAATCCTAATCTTAACCCTACTGTAATTCCTCTATAGGCCTATGTGTAATCTAAAATAAATTTCAGTAGTTCTTCATGTACTGTAAATATAACTAAATAGAAATAAAATTATCCGCATCTTGCTCAAGTTCTCTGATGCCCTCTCCCTACAAATATTTAATCCTCTGTGAAAAAGAGCTGACCATTCTTTAATAAGTTCCTCGTCAACAGGACATGCAATGTTTGTTTTTAAAACTGAATGTGTCTAACAGACCTTGCAAAGGATATATTTTTTTTATTTATTCACAAAACTACGACAAAAAATCTGCCTTAATCAGGAAAAAAAAACAGCGTGATTGGCTATAAGAAGAGCGGAGACAGAGGAAACTCTGAGTTTACTGAAGAAAACATTCTACCGACCAGGTTAGTTCTGGGGAGAATGTTACTACGGCGACTGAAACAGAGGCTGAGGAAACTATTTTTGTTAACCGGAAAAGTCAGAGGTTCCCTGTTTTCAGGTTTAGACAACTTAAGAGTTTTCGGTAGACCTGCTTTGTGAAACGGACCCCTGCTCTGGACATGTGAGGAGTTCTCTTTTAAATAAAACAAGTTTTCTTAAATAGATAATGCAGCGTTGCGGGTTGCTTGTTGATCTTTATTTAAACATTTGGTGTAACTGAGTTATTTAAGTTGAAAGGATATAACATTACAAGTTTCCTTGACAAAGAGTATGTGAGACTGTGTTAATACATAAAGTGATATAGTAAGTAATTTAAACTCAGGTTATCAAATTCAAACAACAAATTATTATCAACTGAGAAAATTTGAAAACTTACCTTCCTGAATTGAATGAAACCTTTTCTGAAGTTCAGTTATCTCATGTTTTTAAGACAGCTATTGAACTTAAATAGTTAAGTCAAAGCACTGTGATAACTATTACAGTCCTGTTACCAAGAGGATGAAAAAACATCCATGTAGATGTTGCTGCCTAAACTGCTTCACTCAGTCTGAAAACTGAAAAAAGTGCATTCTCCTCTCACAATAAATGTGACAATTACTTAATGACTTTTAATTTAGAAGGTTAAAATGCTTTTTTTAATCTTCTTTTTTTTTTATTGAGATAACTTCACAGACAAAAGAAAAATATTTTTCAAAAAATTACTGGTTTGTCTGAAAAGAGACAGCTGCAATAGAATAGTGATGGATCCAATAAAATGCTTTTAATTATCAAAAAGAAATTTATTCTGGTCTTAAGAGAAAGCATTACTAAGGTTGCAAGTGTCTTATGATGCTAAAGTAGTGCTAAGTATTTTTTTCCATTATTGTTTCAGAAATATAAAGGTGTCTGCCCAACTAGGACTATAACACTGGAATTATGCTGCTGTGAAACAATAGAGCTCATGGCATAAAAAACTGAGATTATCGGTAATGTTTTGTACTTGTTAAAACACAAATCTTTTTCTAATATTTGTGTAATAAAAAACTTACTTTCCAATGTGCATCATTGTTCTAGTCATGTTCTAGTCCATTTTTTGGAGATGAAATGTAGGGGCTTTTAGTATTTTGGTGATTATTTTGTCTTCAAGTTGACAGCAACATGTTACCATGTGCCACGTTAAGATATCATAACAACAGGTTTTTTTCTGCTGTTGTGTTTCTACTTGTTTTTTAATGTTGAAATAATAGGTCTATTTTTTAGTCTGATCAAAAGTAAATGTGCATATTTTATCATGAATT